ATGCATCTCCTGCCAAACGCCTGCCTTACTCAGAACATTCTTCTACACACACGTCACAGAGAATTTAAAAAAAAAAAAAGGTTAGAAGATGAAGTCTTTTCTTTGTAATGAAACAAATTTACCTGATTAAAACAAAATTCCCATTCCCTATACTATTTAAAAGGTAACAAAATTGACCAAAAATAATGAATGACTGCTCTCCCTGTTGTGCTTAGGATTATTGAAAGAACAGTGAAGAACAACTCCTATCAGCAAGGTTTGTTTACAGAACACATTGCAGAGGAGATGGGTTTGGGCTTGGCTGAGAAGGAGGTGAGCAATGGACTCATGCTCAAGGGTAACGTGCAGCAGGCAGGGAAGCCTGTCTTTGCTTTTTGGGTTCAAGGCAAGGTGCTCCCCCACTTAACTCACTGTTTTCATCTTTAAAATAAAGATGATGATCCTTTTTGTGGGTAATATATGTAAGAGGATAGTCAACATGGTATAAATGAAGTGTTTAAAGTACTAGCCTTTTCTAGTTATCATCACTGTTTATTTATGGAAATGATAGAAATCAAGGGGGTTTAGGTACAGGACGTGCAGTATCCAAAGGCTAGGGAGATGCCTCAGTCAGTAGAGTATTAGTTTGATGGGGTTGAAGATTAGATAGTTGCAATTATACTGCTCTCATATCTTAACTAGGGCGTATAAGGTACAAGACTTAGGCTCTCCAGGATAGGACAGCTATTGGAATAATCTCTGTTATTTGCCAGTTACCTATGGCCTGAATATTTAGAATGTGTTTTATGCTTGATGTTGTTCTTGTTGGTTGTAGTTTCATCTTTGTTTTTGGTGTTACCTTTCTTTCTTCTGCACAATACTTGCTAGTTGTTCTTCTTGTAGATAGTTTTATGTTATGATTAGAACCTTCTTATTTAGAAAAAATGGGGAAGTGTTGTGGGATCTCAATCCATTTAGCCAATGACCTTTGGGGCAGTAAAACCATAGGGCGTGTTCTTCTCTGCACACATGACTGTCTAAAAGCTGAGGCTGAGGGATCACGCCCTCTCACTTTCTCAGGTTGGTTGGACCCCAGCTTCCCTGGATAGAATGGCATGACACAGCAACTGGATAGTGACTTCTTATCTCTTCTGTATCAGTGAGTCCTTGTCCCCATTTTTACTTAAATAAATTCTTGAGACCCTTTAACAGACTCTTGTGGGTTTGTGTAACAGTTACCTCTACTTAATTGAGAACATTTTCTCACCCCTAAAGAAAACCCCAGGTTTACATCCTGTTTCTTCCTTCTCAAACCTGGGAAAACATGAAGCTGCTCCCTAACCAGAGGAATCTGTATACTCTGGGTATCTCATATAAACAGAGTGATATAATAGGTATAAATCTTCAAGTAGATTATTTAAACTCTTTTGATCATGCGGCATTCCATGTTTAACTTTTTAGGGAAGTGGAGACGTCATTTTACATTTTTCCTCTTCTGCCCCTCTCCTTTCCATGCTAACAGTGCGTTCAAGGTTCTGACTAGGCTAGCCAACACCTGTTGAGCTTTTTCAACGCAACCATGCTACAGAGGCTGTGAGTAGCATCCTCTGAGGGGAACTTTGATCTCCCACCTGCAAGTCTCCAATATGGAGACTTACATTAATTATAAATGCTCAATCGATAGCTCAGGCTTATTACTAACTAGTTCTTACAACTTAAATTAACCCATATTTCTTATCTAAGTTCTACTGCATGGCTCATGACTTGTTATTACATTTTGTACACATCTTTTTTTCCTCTGTATCTGGCTTGCAACTCCTGAGACTCCACCCATCTTCTTCCCAGCATTCTCTTTTAGTCTGATTCTCCTGCCCAATCTCTTCATGCCCAGCTATAGGCTAGTTGGCTCTTTATCAACCAGTGAGAGTGATACCTATTTACAGTGTACAAAGATTGTTCCACAGCAGATTGGTGTGAATGCCTCACTTAGGAAAGGCACCAACGAACTTGTCATGTGCATTGTGTATGTTCTTTGAGGGACACTGAGGAACTTGTCACATGTGTTGTATCCATTCTTTGAGGGATGTGTACTTGACAATCCTTTGACTCTTTTTCTTTTGAGTTGTTTGTCTTTGTTATGCTGTAATAGTTCTTCATGTTTCTGAATTCTTAAGTCTATTTGGATGAATTTCTTGTGACTATTTCATTTTGTGGATTATATTTTTATTTGCCTGACAGTGCACTGATAGACACAGGTTTCTTATTGTAACTAGGTTTAGTTTATCTATTTATCTATCTCTTGCTGCTTTACTGTCATTCCTAAGAAAGAAGAAAGACCTAATCTGAGGTCACCAGAATCTGTACTTTCATACTTTTTTTCTAAGAATTTTATAATCTTACTTCTTATATTTGAGTCTCTAGCCCATTTTGAATGTATTCTTTTTGAACATATATTTTGAATACACACAATCACATAATAAGAATGATGTCAAGGAAGAGTTTAAATTCATTCCTTTGTACATGAATATTCAATTGTCTTACACAATATGTTGTTGAAATGAATTATTCTGGCATCCTATCAACACATCCATTCTTACAATAAAATGAGTGCCAATTCTTTATGAATTAAAAATGAGGGAGTTGACTGATAGTTGTTTTATCTTCCAAATGATTGGACTCTAACAATATCTCTGTTGTTTCATCTACAAAATGAGGGTAATAATGCCTCACTGTATCATTTAAATTACATACTATTTAGTAAAGACAGAGGCCTAACTCAATTTTTAAAAAAGTACTGGTGTGTTTACCCACAAATAAATATTAATATTATATGTTGATTAAAAACAAAATCATGCGACTTACTCACTTATTCATCTTCTATGCAAGAAAACTTAACAAGTATCTTTATTAGAATAAGCATATTAAAGAGACAAAATCCTTATTCTTATGGAACTCACTTTGCACTAGAGGATATATGAAGTAATATATCAATAAACATATACATAATAGCAGATAGGATTAAGTGTAGGTAAAGAAAAATGTAACAGATTTTAGAGAACCAGGTGTGAGCATGGAGAATGTGAAAGACTCATCAAGGGTGGTGCTATGTGGGAAGAGATCTAAATAAAGGGAGGAAGGAGATGAGCCTTGAGAGCAGTAGTTCTCAACCTATGGGTCAGGACCCCTTTGGGGAATTGAAAGACCCTCTCATAGAGGGTCACCTAAGACCATTGGAAAACATAGATATTTACATTATTATTCACAGAGTAACAAAATTACAGTTATGAAGTAGCAACAACAACAAAAAAATTATGGTTCGGGGGTCACCACAATGTGAAGAACTAGTTGCATTAAAGGGTCACAGCATAAGGAAGGTTGAGAACCCCTCGTCTAGAGTGTGGGCCAGACTAAGAAAGTGTGGTGACCAAGAATGCAAACAAGGCTGTTCCAGAAATCTGCCAGAGAGAGGGTAGTGGCTCGAGTCAGTAATAATGAATGGCGTCTGATTCGAGTGCACTTGGAAAGCACCATTACCTGCTCATTGGTAGGTTGTAGGATGGTTCTTTATGACTTTATTTGAAAGACGGGCGTACAACCTACCAATGAACAAGTGATAGCGAGTGTGTCAAGAGGCTGCCTGAAGGAATGAGACCTTTCACTGGGGAGGACAGAAAATAGGGTGCTAAGATCCTCAAGGTCAGCATGATTTTATATAGTCTTCATGTAATTTTAAATGAAAAATGTGTATGTGCCAGTTCTTTTCACCTAATTAAGTAAGATCTCAGAGCCTCTGTAGATCTGAGTTTGAACGCAGTCACAGTTACTAGCTAGCAGTAGCACAGACATGCAAGGCAAGTCCATAGCCCCAGCACTCATTTTAGAGACAGATCCACAGCATCTAGGAGTACCAAGCACTGCTTTTCAATGCTATTTCCTGGGTTGCAATTGGATGGAGCTCAGGATTCCACAGGGAAAATGTTATTTTGAAATTCCAACTGACATTTTTTTCATTATTATGAGATTTTTGGCCTTTCCTTTTTGATGTTTAGTATGTCTGTTGCTTTAATAAGATGATGGAGGTGTTTGAATACTTTGATTTAGCAAAGTCAAAAGGTGTTAAATTTAAGTTTCATTCCAATTTCTTTTGGAAACATTCCCAGTCGATGGAAATCCCAGAGTCTGAAATTCTGCATCTTTAGAAGCACAGTTTCTTAGTTCTACAAAGATTGGTTCACTTTACCATGAAGATATTGCTGACAGTTAATAACTACCATTGTTATGAATGGATGATGGCGTTGCCAACCAGAGCTTTTTAGGGATATTCTGGTCCTATCAGACAGCCAAAACTTCTGTTGACATATAAAATTAGAAGTCTGATTTATGTAAATAAATTCAGAGCTGTGCCGTTTAATTTTACCTCCCAACCTCTACTGAAAGAGGTCGACCAGATGCTCAGATCACATCACACTGAATATTTCTGAAAATCCTTCTCAGTTTTATAGAAGGATTTGATGAATTGGATGAAGGAGAAAAGTGAAGTCTTGCCAAGAACTTTTATATGCTAATTCATGCTTCTGTAGTTTCCACTTCACATTTGTGTTACAAAGACAGGCATCAAACAGGAACTAGAATAAGATTATTTTTTTGATATCAATGGAGATGAACATGTCTGGTTTTGGTAGAATATTTTACAGAATTTTTTATGTTGTTTCTCTTTCCAAGGATGTTATAGAGCACACACATCATCCAAATCTTTTATAAATGTTTTAAACTGCCACCTAACAGAGTATTTTTTCATCACTTATATGACTGCTACCTCATTTTTTGATGTCACAACTTATTCAATCATTTGTACTCTCCTCAGCGAATATTGTACATTCTACTTGATACACTACCAGATAGGGTTCTTGGTCTCAAGAACTCCATACAGCTTTTCCGCCCGCTCCCACCCCCCCCCCCTGCCCCCAGCGCCGCTCCGGCTGCACCGCACTCTCTCTGCGCCGCTGTCCCCAGACGCCACCATGATCATCTACCGGGACATCATCAGCCATGGCGAGCTGTTCTCCGACATCTACAAGATCCGGGAGATCGAGGATGGGCTGTGCCTGGAGGTGGAGGGCAAGATGATCAGTAGAACAGAGGGTAACATCGATGACTCTCTCATTGGTGGGAATGCTTCCGCCGAAGGCCCAGAGAGCGAAGGTACCGAAAGCACAGTAGTCACTGGTGTTGACATTGTCATGAACCACCACTTACAAGAAACCAGCTTCACAAAAGAGGCCTACAAAAAGTACATCAAAGATTACATGAAATCACTCAAAGGCAAACTTGAAGAACAGAAACCAGAAAGAGTAAAGACTTTTATGACTGGGGCTGCAGAGCAAATTAAGCACATCCTTGCTAATTTCAATAACTACCAGTTTTTTATTGGTGAGAACATGAGTCCAGATGGCATGGTTGCTCTCCTGGACTACCGCGAAGATGGTGTGACTCCATACATGATTTTCTTCAAGGATGGCTTAGAGATGGAGAAATGTTCACAAATTGGATCTATCACCTGTCACCATAACCTTCCCATCCATACAACACCAGGACTTAGGACAAATGGGACTGATGTCACCTTGAGCTCTTATTTTGACCATGATTTATCTGGAGTGGAGACATTGTTTTTTTCTTTTTTCCTTTTTTTTTCTTTAAAGAAAAAACATGTCATGTAGGTTGTCTAAAAATAAAGTGCATTTCAATTCATAAAAAAAGAACTCCATACATATTAATTACACAGTAGACATAAAGGGCCAGTATTTTACTGGAAGTGTTGTTATTGGGGAAGTAGACCAGCTTTTGGTATTCTGTCTGGCCTATGAGTAAATTCTAGTTCTACTATTTAACTTTCTGGCTTTCTCTTTGAAGCATGGGAATAACAATCTTGGTATCACTTGGTGTTTGGTTGTATCGTTGGCTGTTCTGATAAGTTAACAAAATATTGTTTTCATTCACTTAGCAAGTACTGAGTAAACATGCGTGAAAGAAACACACGGCTAAGAGCCTGGCATGATGTTTGTGCTTAATCAGAGTTACAATCATTTCACCTTTCATTCTGTCTTGATTCAGAGAACTGGCCTTTTGCCACAGTGCGTTATGCTAACGTTCTTATCTAAGTCATATGTCTGAACATTTCTCCCAAGCCTACGACATTCCACCCAGCATGCCCTGGAATTCTGCTATTGATGCCAGGGGGTAACTGATGGCCCATGACTGCTTTGTCTGTTGCCCTTAGCATAGTCCTCATTAGATTTTGCCAGCTTTGGAGTTTAGGTGGTTCCTCTGCCTACAGATGAGTGTCAGTACAGGCCTTATCCCTTGGACTGGGTGTGGCTTAATATATTTCATAATTCACTTTGCCGTCACTTCATTCCCGAAAAATGGATTGTTTTCCAGATAGTAGGCCCATACCAGGTCTTCATAATGCGGGTATGCCACATCTTGCTCTGGGGTTTTGCATGCTGAGGACAGGACTAACTTACAGTTCCAGGTGGTGTGGCCCACAGAAACATATTGTGGAAGAGATACCTGTCAGAAGATTAAAATACAAAACAATAGTATTAAAAGTACATGTGTCACACAGACAGATAAGTGCTTGGATTGTTACACCAGGCTCAAGGGAAAGGCTTCAGCTGCAGCAAGCAGCTACGAATCTAGTCATGTAAGAAGGGTTTGCCGGTTGCCTTAAAGAAAAGAAGACGTGGGTGGGTGCTTGGGCTCCTTCTCATTGGCAGTATCACTGCGGTCATTTCATCTCTCCCAATGCTGGTTTTATTGCTAAGACACTATTTAAAAAAAAAGAGTAGAATTGTACTCCATGCCATTTGAATATACAAAAGCACCTCAGGGCAGTAAAGTAGAGTTTGGACAAGTCGGTGTGGAATGCTCTTCAGGAGAGAAGTTGCTAAAGAGCAATTAGATGTAAACATAAATCCACTGGAGGACTGGATGGAGGGCACTCTTCTGTCAAGGCAATCCAGACATGAAAGTGCAGCAAGCTGGGAGGCCAGCTGTTCGGGCTGCTGGCCACAGACTGGGTGTCAGGAGGATGAACAAATGGAAATATTCAGTGCGGTTGCTGGCTCTACTTAGGGAGTTCGTATAACTTTTTATTACTAAAACAAGCGTTTATTCATGCTACACTGCCATAAATTTCCCCCCAGGGATAAGGGACTCTTTCTTCCAAATGCCCTGTTTTTCTAATACCATATATCCCAGGCAATGCACTCATGGAAAAACTTCTCAAAACTGGCATCTTCAATTAGATTTCCTTATACTGGACTCTCCTATGACTTTTATATGTTTGTTCCTGGGTTACTTTCAGTGTCCTTATGAATGTCCAGCAACAAAGATGGTCATTTTACAAGGAGATTAAAAGCAAATCATAAGATTGGGCTCGGAATTTCACTTCTAATAATTTGGATCTGAGCATTTTAAATTTAGTTCAAATTGGCTAAAAATGTCGCCACCACCTACAAAGAATGCTATTGCTTAGAAAAAGATTTTGAGTCGATATCTGTTCAATCTGGCTCAGCAAGTAAACAGTTCTTCATTCTTTGTGGAATGTGTCTTGTTTATTATTACAGGTTTTGTTGTTGCTTTGATCTGAATAAGGTGTTCCCAAATAAAGCCGTCTCTAAAGCCAACAGCAGGTATTCACACTCACCTTGCAGAGTTTTCGTTTGTTTTGATTGGGAGCGCAAAACCGTGTTGCCGCACGTCGGCTCCAATGAATTAGCATTCCCTTCTGAACTGACTCATCCAGGAGGCATGCGTCCACATAGCAGAGAGCATCACACAGGTCAGAAAGGATTCCTGCACCACACACTGGGAACCGCCCAGTTTCTTATTCTCTCCTTGTTTTAATGGCACCATCTCTTGACCTGGAACTTAAGACAGGGAGTCAAGCGGAGCTGCCAAAACAAAGGTAGAACCGTGGACAAGGGGAAGGTGGGGCAGAATGGAGGGGAGAGCCAGAGGAAGGAGGGAGGGACAGGCAAGTGCATTTCTGTGTGTCAGGACAGGAGTTCAGGCACACAGTGTTCCTGCCAAGGGAATTCTGATTTAGAGGCAACCTTCCCCAGCGAGGTGGCACCTGAAACCTAGAACTGGCATTTGGGAGAAAGAAAAGAGGAACAGTGGTTTTTTTCTTAAACCAAAATGGGTTGATGCTCTTTATGAACACACAGTGGGCCAGATGGCTCAGGGAGTAAAGGCACTTGCTGCCGCCCGTGACAATCTGAGTTCAATTCCCAGAGCCCACACAGTGGATGACAACAACTCCCGCAAGTTCTGCTCTGATCTCCACCCACACGAACTCACACACATATACACACACTCACAAACAGAGAAAATGTAGTGAAAATTTTTTCAAAAAGTAGGTTTGAGTACAGAAATAAATGAAACCATAGATAACCAGTAAAAATGGTTTGGCGATTGTAAGTTACCACTGCGCATGTATATTAAAGAAAAACAGGTATGCTTCACGTGATGGCTCAACTGCAACTTTAAAAAGAAAAACAACCATTTGTTCTGATCGGAACTATATGTTTAGTGAACACATTTTGTCTTTGACTAAGAGCATTGAGTGTGTTTCAGGGAATTCGAGAAATAACACCATTTTTCTTTCAACATGGAATTTTTTGCGTACAAGAGAAGCACAGTATAAACAATGTCTCGTGTATGAAGATAATTCCCATGCAAGAAAAGCATAGTATAAACAATGTCTCATATACGAAATTGCTTTCCACTTATGTTGAGAGAGGACCTTGGTCCCACCCTAACCTACCCATAGTGCTCATGAACAGTTGCTTTATCCCACAGCCCCAAAGGAATGTCGTAAATATTTTTTGACTAAATGCATGACTTTAGACTCAATACACATGCTGTACTGGTTACTTTTCCCTTACTGTGATAAAGCACTGTGACCAAGCAGCTCGGAGAAGAAAGAGTTTATAATGGCTTGTGGTTCTAGAGGCTTAGAGTTCTCATGGTGAGGACACATGGCAGCGGACGGCGAACATGGCGACAGAAGCAGAAAGCCGAGAACTCACATCCTTTCCCACAGCACACTGCAGACAAAGTGAACCGGAAGTGGCGAGAGTGGTTTTTAATCTCAGTGCCCGCCCTCACTGATATACTTCCTCCAGCAAGGCTGTACCACCCAAACCTTCCCAAACAGCTTCACTAGTGGGGCCCAAGCATTTGGATGCCCGAGACTCTGCAGGATGTTCTTCATTCAAACCACCACATATGCAGATCGATCCTGCCTAAATCCTTTACGCTCTGGGCTACATCTTCCTGCCCATGGGATGTTTTAACACACAGGAATTGAAAGTATCGCGTCTACTTTACTAAATTTTATGCGAGCAGAGTAAGAAAGCAGTCCATTTTCAACAAGCTCTGAATGTTAATGGCCTCTCATGAATGCTCACATTCATTTGTTCTGTTATTTGTTATAATGAAAGGAGAGGAGCCAGCAGGGCGAGTTTAGCATCACAGAGGAACCGGCAGCATGTAGTTCACTCTGTCCTGCCCTATTCAGTGTTATAATGACCACTGTGTATCAGTCCGTGCAGATAGAGGGAACCACAGCTTAGGGATGCATGACTTCCCCTAAAGGAAACAGACCAAAAAAAAGTTTGTAATCCTAAGGACATGACCTTTGTCTTTTTGTTTTAGAGACAGAGTCTCACTGTGCAGCCCTGGCTGGCCTGGAACTAATTTTTGTAGACCATACTGGCCTTGAACTCAGAGAGATCTTACTGTCTCCGCCTCCCAAATGCTGGGATCAAAGTTGTGCACCCCCACACCCTGCATCTAAGGATATAATTTGCAAAAACCATTTTCCTTTTGCAGTCACATCAGAATTTCCTTTCTTGTAATCTTTTTTCCTCTTTCTAAAATGAATTCTTGGAGCATTTCCTACAATGGAGTTTGATTATATTCGCCCTTCCCCCAAACTCCTCCTGGACCCATCTACCCCTCCCCCAGTCACCCAACTTTTCATTCTCTTTTCACAGTTTTTAACTGCCCATATACTCGTGGAGTGTGACCTTCTGGAGTACGGCCAACCTACCAAGGGCCTCATCTTTGAGAATGACTCTCACCAGTAGGTAGGCATGGGACTTTGTGCCCACCTCCACTGGCCGTGCCGGGGTTTTGGCTGCCTTGAGTTCGCACAGGTGTTGTGCATGCGTGACAAATGCTGAGTTCACACTGCAAGCACCCTTGCTGGGCCCAGAAAGTTCTGTTTCCTTGTAGGTAGTGACTTTCTTAATAAAGCTCTTGCCTTAACTAATCTATGCCTAGAAGAACCACCAGCATTTTTGTTTAGCAAAGGGAAAATTAAAACCATCTACACACATTGGAGAGAACCGGCAACATAGTCTCCCAAGAACTGAACGAGGAGTTGCTGCTCGCTGCCTCCCTGACCTTCATTTGAAAAGAACAGTAGCAGGGCTCAGGGCACAGCATTTGCCTTGTACACAAAGGGTCTGGGTTTGGTCCCTAGGACCACAGAGAGCGGGAAGTACTTGGAACGAACTTCACTAAGTAGCATTATAATCAAATGTCCAGCACCCAGGAAGCAAATGGCCTCTCTTTCCCCTCTCCTTCCCCTTCCCGTTAGAGAAGTAGACCAACTGTGAAGTCTTAAAATAATGAATCAGTAGGAGATCATTTATGTACCTTGTTAATTTCTAGAAATTAGATTCTTTATGAAGGAAATCATATGGGGACAGGCTAGGTAGGGCTTGAGAACATCTATTTCTTCATTCCCAAACTCCTTTATAGGAAATATTGTGGGTCCATGGGTGCATACCTCTGTGTGTGCATGTGTGTGTACATGTGTGTCAGTGTGTATTATGCATGTATGTTCCTGTAGAAGCCAGAAGTCAACATCTGATTTTTTTCTTCTATTGCTCTCTACATTATTTTCCAAGCCAAGGTCTCTCACTGAAGCTGAAGCTCTCTGATTACCTGGACTGGCTGGTCCACAAGCTCCAGGAATCTTTCTGTTTCCACTCCATGGGGCCGGGGTTGCAGGAGTGTGCTGGAACTCCCAGGTTTTTATGTGGATGATGGGAATCCCCATCATCCTTAGGTCCTCATACTTACATAGCATGTGGTTAAGCAACTGAGCCGTTTCCTCAGACAACATTTGTGTTCTTCATGAGACAAGTCATGTTTTAAAAGACATTTGACTGGAAAATAGAAGACAAAAAGTCATTTTTCAGATTCACACACTCTTAAAATGCAGATATGCATGTTGACAGGTGCTGTTCGATACTTAAAAAATCGATTACAAATTTCCCAAGCCTGTTGGCTGCAGCACACCTTAGCAATGAACTGTCTGTCATTTACCTAACAGGAGCATTTCTGTCAGAAGAAGTAACAAGTAAAGTTATAAATTATTAATCAGGAAATGGATTGATTCTAGAACCGGTGATGATTACTATCCGTGGAGGTGGCCACAGTCTAATTGTTCTCCTCCAGAGACAACCAATGAGGTGTTCTTGTCGAGTGTCCTGGAGCAAATGCTACTAAAGCCCCGTGTGCTGCAGTACTATGGTTTCCCCAAATATAGCCCCTTTGTGTGGCGGTCCAGGAAATCCAGCAGTAGAATGAAACAATGGAATTCTGCCCAGAAGCTTTTCTAAGTAGGCAGCCCTTTGATAAAAGCAGACTAGCAAGGAAACACCACAATTGTTCTTTACCGGTAACTGTTTAAAGTATTTGTTGACAAATGCGTAATATGTGGTAGGTTTGGGACTGAAAAGATTCCTGCCCTTCTGTGCTTTCCAAATGAAGAAGTGATGCCCTGTGTGCACAGAAGGAGTAACATCAAATTTGATCCCTTAGTGCAGAATTCGGACTTTGTTAGGTACTGGGTCTGCCTCCAAAGTGCTGGTGAGAAGATCAACACGGCCTATAAACTAACTGCCTGTAAGACTTTCTCTGAGTCCCCTGTGCGTGTCTCCTTATAGGGAGGCTAACCAGGCTGGTCCATGCACTTCTGTGTTAATACAACATAATTTTCACCACACAGCATTGCAGCTGCATCACTTGTTGGTATCCCCAGGTGAGGGCTGATCTATGTTCTTCATCTCCTTAATATGGTCTTAAGTACAGGCATCTCTTGGTATCCATGGGGACAATTTTCAGATCTTGCTGTTATAAAAATCCACAAATTCTTAAGTCCCTTTGAAAATGGTTCATGACTTCAATCCCGGACTGTTTTTGTTCCTTTGTTTGTTTTTCGAGACAAGATTTCTCTGTGTAACAGTCCTGGCTGTCCTGGAACTCTGTTTGTAGACCAGGATGACTTCAAACTCAGAGATTTGCCTATCTCTGCCTCCTGAGTGCTGGGATTAAAGGCGTGTGCCACCACTGCCTATCTACAGAGAAGACTTTGGACTTCATTCTTTTTATTAGTTGGAGACTCTTTCCATACTTAGTTGGAATATGCAAATACCGAGGCTTTAGTTAAAGAGATAAACTGTACAGTTGTGAATGGGGGCAGCCAGAGCAGGAGACGAGGGTGTAGTTTCCTCACTACATGCAAAGATGAAAAATAGTTGCTAGCTTTTAGGATCCTTTTGGAATTAGGTGAGATACTCATGTTAGCTGTTTGAAATGCTGCCTGTCACACAAGTCTTCAAAGAATATGAACTGCCAAAACGTCAGCATCCTAACCCCAAAGGTGATGGAGTCGAGTCTGCACTGGGTGTATGTAATAAATGTCACAGTCAGTTCTCAGCTTGCAGAGCCTCTTGGTTCAGCACTGGTGCACAGACAGTGCTCGCGGCCAGGCTTTGCTGATGGCGCCTTGGTTTTCTTCTCTCTCCTCCAGATAGCCATGCATTTGCCCCCTCTCTTCTCTAAGCGTGTGCACTGCCGGGGCAGAGCAGTGCCGGTCCTTGACTTTAGCGTTGCCTCGCTGCATGTCAGCCTTACTAACTTCTACTCTGCTTGCTGATGAGAAGTCTTCTTAAGCCTGCTCTCCGTAGGCTCAAATGACTAGGAAGGAAGAGCTATAGCCCTGAGAACCATCTTGAAATAAATATACCAGCCCATGTTTTCCAAGGGGAAAAAAAACCTTCAAGGTGGAAGTTACAGAAGAATACCAATGGGAAGCACTGGCTGCAAAAAATTCCCCAAACCTACTCTCTTCTGACAGCAGAAAGACCTTGAGGTGCCTTCGAGAACTTGCATTGGGAAATTATGGCTGTTTATTTTTTAAGCTTCATTTTTTAATGATCATTTTGTATGTGTGTGTTCAAATTTATGTGGTGCTTGTACCACATAAGTACAAGCATGTGAAATCCAGACGACATCTTCATATGTCATTCCTCGTAGGTGGTGTCCAAAGAGGAGCTCTCAGTAGCCTAGCGCTTGCAAACGTAAGCTAGTGTAGCCAGCCACTGAGCTCCGGGCATCTACATGTCCCGCATCCCCACAGCTACGATTACAAGAAACTGTCCCCATACCTAGCCTTTTATGAATGCATACTGGACATCGAAGTCACACGAGATTAATTTTCATCTTTTGGGTTAGGTTTTGATCCGTTCATTTGTCATCACTTATTGCACCCACTCAGTTGTCAATGAATGTGCTTGTGTGACCAGCTTGTGTATGTGCATGAGATTCTCGTGTGCATGCAGAAGTGTGTGTGTGCATTCACATGTATGTGTGTGCATGTGTCTGCATTTGTGTAGACGTTTCTGCTAGGCTTTTGAGCGTGTAAACCATTTGTAGGCACCAGAGAGACCACAGCTTAAACAGCAGTGGAGTGGCAACGCTCAGGTCTTTACAACAGCAGAGCCGTATGAGCGAAAGTAGCGTGGTTGAAGTGGGGCCTGAGAAAGCAAAGCTCCCGTGGTCAGGGGAGATGAGTGTGCAGGCAACTAGACACGGTGTTGTCTGTCCCCTGAGCAGGGCACCCAGTCCTCCGGGGGGGTGGGGGGGGTGGAAGCAGTCATGTAGGAATGTACGCACATGGCAGTGTTCGCAAAGAGAAATGAAGAGACTCTTGTCTTCCCTTCCCTAAGTGTTTGAGCACTGGAATTTTACTTTACTGTGTCTGGAACTCAGGGGCCCAAGCCTTGAAGGACAGTGTCTACAATCTTTGCACCGCCGATGGGTATCTTTTTCTCTCTGCCTTCCTTCACTGAGAGTGCTGGAATTTCCCTAAGACTAAGGCTTCTCCTCTACATCCTCTAGTGTGAACTACAGGTTAGGCTTTATCTTTTCATCATAAGGAGATGGAATTAGTTAGAATTTTGAAAAGTGGAAATTCAAGAAGCATCATCCCCAGCCATAATTACCCTCTAGCAAATTTTCTTTATTCTTTTATACTATATATTTCTAATTCTAAAAAATTGTAACCTTTGTGCATTCCACACTACCTTGCCTCCTTTATGTTTTACTTGCAAAATTGTTGATTGATTAATGAAACACCAAAACTAGGTCTCTTCATGTAACCCACACTGAGAACAAGCCAAGATCTAGGCTAGCCCCTGAGACCCCCAAAGCCTGGAAATGAAGGAAGGTATTTTATATTTATTACAAATCGCAGGAATATCTCCGAGATGTTCTGTCCTTTGCAGCAAACACATTTTTGGTGCTCAGAAGCATTCTTTTGTGATTGATTAGTGATGAGTCATGCTGGCGGGGCAGGCTAAGGAGAAGGCGGCCACGCCTGGCGATCCGTGCAGTACTTGGGCTGTTTAAACAGGTCTGTGCCATGAGACTCAATATGATTATGGTGGCGCTCTGGGAGGTTGTTCAGAGGCCACTGTGAGCTCTGATAGTCACCAAGTTCTGCTGAGATAAGAAATCTCAGGAGAAGCTCCGCATATTTAGGCACCTATATTCGCTAAGATGTAAACATCCCCTCCCCTCACCCCACCCCAGGCCTTACAGAACCACTCAGTGGGCAAACCTGGAGACACTACACTAAGCAGAGCAAGCCAGATGTACAAAGATAAATGCTGCGTGATCCCACCTGCACGTACAGTCGAGAAGTGAGCTCATAGAAGCAGAGGGCAGAACAGAGCTTGCTAGGGACTGAGGAAGGGGGATGGGCGGAATAGGAGACATTGGTCAGAGTGAGACTTCCCCATCACATGCTGGGTAAATTCTGGAGATCAGTGTGCAGAGATGACTATAGTCAGAAAGCAGATTTTTAATGTCCTCACCCCCAGCAACCATGGGTATTGATGAATATGTTAATATGGCTGTGGAGATTAATACAATGCGCATACATAGATCAAACTACCATACTACATACATAAAATAGGTATAGTTTTTTTTTCAAAGGCCAGACATAACCTGCTTTCCCTAAGGCTAAGGACCCTCCACAGAGTCTCACATTACCACCTACCAAGCACACAGGGTTGTGAGGCTTGGAATTCCAAAAAGACGTTCTCTCTCTTGTTTTGTTTCTTCTCTCCTAGCTGCCCACCAAATTCACACTGCTCTTTGCTTTTTGAATGATAGAAGTTTTTGTTTCTCACCAGAACAAGCTATGTAAAAGTAGACCACTGGAGACAAGAAGCACGAGTGGAAGCCATCTCAAGGATTCCAGAAACTTTAAAGTCTCACCCTTGAGTTCAAAGCTGTTGAGTCCAGATATTAGGACACATAAACACCACACAGTTTTCTGTCAGCCACAAAATGGTCTGGGCCAACAGACAGAGCCTCCCACTCAGCACTTCAAAAGTGGCGTGATGGTGATTTCTTTTCCATCCCTGACAAGTCACTCACGTGCAAGGACTGTGCCCTTGGTCTCACACCAACCGCAGTGATGCACGAGCTGAGCTCACAAATAAGCAAAAGGAAGTTACTACAAACAAAATCTCCCATAATGTCACACTAGATTACAGAAGGGCAAGACTGATACTGTTCGGTCTGCTCGCTGCTGCCATAATACTGCGATGCTTAGCTGTGTCTGGGCTTCTGAGCTTAGGTAAAGTGCCACATTTTCAAAGGGATAGCGGCAGACTGAAGTAAATACAAACAAAAGCAAACACCCCGAGGAACAGTTATATCATGAGGAGAGAGGAGAAGGAATGTCTAGCCTACAGAAGGGTCCCATGAATGACATATAACGAGTCTGGTAGCACCTGAAGGACGGTCCTTTGTGAGAAGAAATAGATTGGTCCTGCTGCACTCCCCATGGCAGAATTAAGGTTGCTGGCTAGAAACTGTACAGGAGAATAGCTCGGGATTCTCTGTGAGAAACTATGACCTGTATGGGAAGGGAGAGGATAGATTGATCTCACAGGAAAGCTGCGATGGCGCTAATCAGCTGGATGGTTAGAAGGCGTTTAATGTCCCTCCTGAATCGCAGGCCTACAAACTGCTCACAACAGATGCCGTGCACAGATGGGTTTGACAGAGCAAGTAGGAGCCTCGTGTAATTAACGCACCATATGACTATCTGCAGGTCTGACTGGTAATAAACTAGGGTATAGTCATGGTGATGTTCTGAAGGCAGTAGAGTGCTTTTAAAAATTATTTTATGTGCATGAGTGTTCTGCCTGCATGCGTGTATGTGCACCATGTGTGTGCAGTGCCTGTGGAAGTCAGAAGAGGGAGTCAGATCCCCTGGAATTTGAGTTATGATGATTGTGAATTGCCATGCCAGTGCTGGGAGCAAAACTCAGTCCTCGGGAAGAGCAACCAGTGCTCTCAACTGCTGAACTGGCTCTCCAGCCCCAGATGGCAGTAGGTTTTAACAGATGAGCCTCATGGGTGGAAGGGGAGGGGACCTCTGACCTGTGAAAAAAAGTGAGCAAAGTCAGCTTTGGTTGGGTTGGATACGGCTCATGGCACCAGGCCAAGACAGACCAGCTCACTGGCCATCTGAACTAGAACGGATGGTTCCTAGGGCCTCAACAAGGCCCATTCAGGGTGAATTAACCTCTGGCCATGCTCAGTACTAAGACTGTAGCAGCATCTGATCTCTAAATGGGATCCAATATGAGCTGTGCTCATAGCTGCGAGTGTTGGCACCACGGGCTTGCAGGCACTTAGCATTAAGCCTGTAGTGCTCATAGACTGGGAAGGCCATTAGCACAGAGCTAGGCCCACACATCTTAAATAGCGTCCACCCCACAGGAAGGCTCTAACATCCACCTGCACCTATGGGTTCATATGATTTCAAAAGCAGCTTATTAAATCAGTTCTGCATTTCTTCTGCCTGCTACTTGTATCTCAAGCATTCCCCTGCTTGGCAGCGGCAGTACCTTGGCTCCCTCCACACAGAGGCCTGCTGAGGAGGCTGGAATGTGTGTGGAGGAGTAGAAGGAGCAACCGATAGATGAAAGAGCTTCCTGGCTTCTGTCAAAGCACGCCTAGCTCTCTGCTATATGTGTGCAGGATTCCAAGGGGACCAATCTGGGGTCATCCATCAAAAGATTCAGGCATTTTGAATATCTCAAGTGGGTTTTTTTTTTTTTTTGATCAGTGTTCAAACCTTTGACTGTACCTGGAGTATTTACCTTGAGAATGGCTACCACAGCACAGTCCCAACAATTGCCATTGGCCTTGAAATAAGCAGAAAGCAGAGGACAATGACATGATGGCACACCAAAAGAAATCATTCCACCCCAGAATAGTTTGGTAAGCCAGTGAGTTTACGGAAGTCCTCACTGTGACGTGGGAAAGAGGTTACCTAAAGGAGCATACAGCTGCATGCCCGGCCCAGCTCGGGTGACTCACAGTACTGCACCCTTGGAGCTCCCTGCACAGTCTGCAGGATTCTCTGCTCATCCCAGTGCAATGGTGTGCTCCCCCAGTGATTGCTGCTGCTGAGATAACTTCATTGGACTTTGCGAATCTGGAACCGTCCCCATTTTCTGAGCCTTGAAAATGTAGTTTACTTCCGGATCTTATGAGTCCCCTCATTCCCTCTGTAAGGAAATGTTTCGATTCAGTGGAGATAGCTGCACAGCAGCTTCATCGCATGGACCAGGTCGTGTGGGCACAGTCACCGCTTCCCTTAGAGCTGAGTCTGCTTCTCAGCCATCACTCCTAAGAGGTCCCGTGTCCATCATTGGTCAAGTGTTCTGGACTCTGACTTGGCGTTTTAGGATGTGCAGATCTGTCTTAGTGGGATTTGATCCATCCCGTGCTTGTACCTCCATTTGCACATCCCAGGATTGCATACCAGTAAGGAGGTCTATGATGATTTCCAACAAACTTTCCCAAAATTCTATCACCTAATGATTTCTCCAGCATCTTTTACAGTGTGGGACTTCGTCTTTCCTGTTCCAAGTGAGTGATAATAGAAAAATAATAACAATGTCATTGGCTTGGAGACACACAGTGGCTCTGCTTGCCTTTGCTTGTGACCTGTGCCAATACTTCACCTCCATGGGTCTCTATTTCCTTTTCTATAAAATGTGGTACCTCACGAGCTGCTTAGGAGATTGGTTAGAAACAGGCAGAGGCCTGGCATGCAGTGGATGCCCCAACACGGTTAGTTAGCTCTGTTGTCTTTGCTTCTTTTCTTCTGCCCTTTGTTTTAATGTACATTTGCTTGTTCTGTGCCTGCAAAGGTTGTTCTTGATCAGCAGAGAAGAAAAGCTGAGTGAAAACTAGACTCCAATACCACAGATTTCTCCCCATGTTTAAAGGAATTAGAATGAAAGAAAGGATAAGCCATGGAAGGTGCTCTTATATTTGGATCTTTTGCTCTCTCTCTTTTTCTCCTTCCCTCCCTCAGCACTTAGTTCTCCACTTAGTTGCTCACCAGAGTGGAGTGTCAGTTGTCTCCATGATATGCAGGTTGGACACGTCCAGAGAAATCAGCAGTAACTTTAAAGAGAACAGAACTGCCTACCGCTGTTGCGCTTTTCCCCACTAGGACTGCAGGATAAAAGCAATTCATGAGCAAAGGTTTCATCACAATGCCTATAAGTTACCACAAAACAAGTTCTCAATGGTATCACCCATCTGCTTTAAATAAACGGCTTTAGAAATATAAAATGACAAAAACATTGTGGGCAGTTGGCTCGATTAACAGACGCAACCTGGGCTCTAATATAAGAATTAGGGGTGTTGCGTGTGGCACAGAAGAGTTGGGAATCTTCTCCTTGGATGCTCTTGCCAAAAACAAGACTGGCGTTTGTGGCATATGGCTTTGTTCTAAGTTGCATTTCTTTCAATCAAGACTCCAACATCCCCCTTCAAATTCAGTTTTGGTTCTCTGTTACCCATCTGTGCAATGCTGCTCTCACGTCAGTGTGCGTAGATGCCAGATCATACATAGTTACAGTCTTGGTGTTTTCAGAGTAAGGTAATCTAGTCTCTTTCGAAGCATACGCCTCATCATACAAGCAAGGAGACAGAACAACAGGCCACAATTGTTTGTTCAGTTATTGGCATGCTTCTGAGGAAGAATCATTCCATACACTTAAAAAATGTATCCAAGAAAGCAATGAACCATAATCTAGGTACTTGGGATGTCCCGCCTTTAAGGTTATTTGTGACTATAATAAAATGGCTACACCCCTTTTCCTACCTTTACTTATCATCTTGGCCCACATACAGTATTCCCAAACACCAAACCCTTCCTTCTCTCTTCTCCACTCTCTCCCATCCCCTCACTCACGCCAGTGAAGAGGTGATAACGTCACCTATCTGGCTTCATGCCCTTGGTGTTGGACCATCAAGCCAAAAGCACATGCCCAAAGTAGTTGACAGTAATGTCTCACTCCCATAGCAGTTGGTGCTGATGCTGCGAGCCTAGCTAACGCCATCTGACACTGTGTTAGAGTTCATTCTTTCTACGGTTCAGACCCAGGCTACCAATATGCCAAGCTTTACTTACATACCTCTTACCTTCTACAAAGGATACAGGAGAACAAGAATCTTAGACCCCAATAAGAACACAGAGCCCATGGTCTGATCCTTTTCTACACGATTTCCTCCTTTTCTACCTGAAAACTATCTTGCCTCTTTTTTGCATAGTCATCGCACGAGACTCATTCACTGTTGTCATGACAGTATCTTATAAAATTAGGCCAGCAAAAATTTCCACAAGGAAAGACACTACATGCTGATGAGCAGCTTGGAGTAATAATAACAAAAAGCAAGGTCTTAACTGGTCTTGTTACACATTTAAAGACTGAATTATTTTATATGTACGCCTGTGTGCCCGAGTGCATGTATGTGCAGCACACAAGTGCAGTACCCACAGACACAGAAAGAGGGCGTGCGATCCCTGGAACTGGGCTTGTGGATAGTGGAGATCTGCCATGTGGGTGCCAGGAATGCAACCTAGGTCCGCAGGAAAGCAGCCGGTGCTTTTAACCACTGAACCTTCTCTCCAGCTTCCTGTTACACTTTTAATTGAAAGTTTCTAGTTGGTAGGTAAGCAGCTTTTCATTCTGAGTCAGCCAAAAGTGAGAACAATCTGGACATGAGCTTTGCAACTCAAAGAACTTTGTTTATCAGCTCTGGGCTTAGAATGCAATAAGTTTTCTGTGGGCTTTTTTTTTCTTTTCTTTCATTTTCTCTTCTCTTCTTTTTCCTTCTTTTCTTTTCCTTCTTTTTTTTTTTTTTCCTTTTGACATCAAACACTTCTGAAGAGAAAATGGGGAGGAGAGATTCTGGTTTGCCTTATGTGCTTCCTCAGATATGGTCAAACTGAGCAGCAGTTTTCTGTATCCCTGCTCCCCAGTTTACAGCCTGACCGCCTGTGGGTACAGAACTCCCCTGCAGAGAGAGCTCTCCCCAGGTCCCATGTCAGAATTCCCAGACTCAATTTCTGTTGTTGTTTGGGGCTGTTTTTTTAAGCCTATCTAATATCTCTGTCTGGGTCTGGCTTGCTACCTTCACCCCAGTCATGTAATATTGTTCGACTAGCATTGGGTTTGTCTTTCTCTTTTTCTTTTTTAAATCGAGACCCCCTCCACACGTGACCAGATATTTCCTATACGCCTTTACAAGTGTTCCCTGTGGTTCTGCAGGTTGTCCACAGTCTGCCAGTGTACCTGCTTCCCGTGTAGTGGTTCTTGGCGGCAGCTTCAATGGGACCCGGACTTTGTATTTGTTTCGTAGTGATTAAAAGCTGGGGACGCAGACAAATTAAAGGAGCACGGCTGGGTGCTGAGTACATAACTCTGCACGGGTTATCTATTCAGGTCTTGTCTATAAGAGCCTTGATGCTCCATTGCATGGTTGTTCGGGACTTCTTTATTTACCTCTGGTGTCAACATAGGATTAAAAAGTTTGTTTAGAAACGTTTTATTTAATTAATTCCGTTGTAATGAAGGCTGAAATTTTATACCCAGTGACCCGTACTTATTTGACCCGTACTCTTTATTTAAGAAGTGTAACGCATCTCCCCACCCCTTAAAAAAAAAAAATTCTAGTTGCCGCTGACTTTAGGAAAGCCAAAACGCTTTCTCTAACTTTCATAACCTGAACGGGTTCCTGTGCCAGGGCTTGTTTGTCCCTTCTGAATTCTCTGTGCCTCTCTCCTCTCTCAGCTCTGGGGTTTGGGGTCTTTGTCAGCCCCTGGTACTTCCAATCCAATATTTGCTTTAAGCCCTGTGTGAAAGATCTGCTGGTTCTGCCTCTCCTCCTCGGCTCCGCGCTGACGGAACACGCCCAGTCCCCTCTCCTCGTGCTTTGATTGGCTCCTGGGGTCACATGAGGGACCCGGAGGGTTGGAATTCTGACTTGTGGCTTTTGGCACTCCTTTTTCTTTTTAAAAATCGCTGGCTCTGTGGCTCTCTCCTGGGGCTCGGTGCCTTTGGCCGAGGCTGGAGACAGCTGCGAACAGCCACGGGCAGCTGAGGTGGCAGTGGGAACTCTCCCGAGATGTTCAGCCAGGTGCCCAGGACCCCGGCTGCAGGCTGCTACTATCTAAATCCCATGACACCTGAGAGCCAGGAGATGTACTTGCGATTTGATCAGACTGCCAGACGCTCTCCCTACAGGATGAGCCGGATCCTAGCACGCCATCACCTAGTGACTAAAATTCAGCAAGGTGAGTTGCCGGCACTGCCAGGGTGCCGCTCATTTCTGTTGGCTCTGTCTTGTACTACTTAGAAAGTTACCGTTCGCACTGTACACCGCACAGATTCCTATGCCACGCTGCGTGGAACTCTTCCAGATAACTTTAGACTCCAGTGTGAAGCAGTCTGTAAGAGCACTGAGCGCCGCATAAATCACAAGAATATTTCCCAGTCGGACGTGAATCATGAATTCCAAATCCTCCGTGTGTCAACAGAACGAATGAGAAAGGTTTACTCAGTGTGTGTATGTGTGTTGGGTAGATTTTCTGCAGGTAAACTTATACTCCGGTCACATTTTAAAAGCGAACACTTGTTTATTTGACTGGGGAAAGAACAGAGAGCTAAGGACTAATCTCCAGCCTGCCTGGAGTTTATAGGGCATCTTCATTGAAGGGGAACAGCGAGAGTCTATGCTGAAGGCCACTGGGCTGACAGCTTGAATTACATTCTTTTCCTGTCTGTGTGTTTGTGTGGATAGTCACCGCTGATTTGTTGATACTGTTTTCTTGCTAAAGGATAAATGTGACTCTTCACCTTCAAACGGAGCCTCTGACTACACACACTTAGGAGCAGTGGCTTCCTAAGGCAAGGGGGTAGTGTTGATTACGTTACTACGGGCTGCTAGGTGATCTTTTTTCATTCTCAAAGGAAAAAAAATAAAATCCTTGTACCCTGAACATTAATAAAATTCATGGTTTATTTCGTTTAAAGACTTAAAGCTTAAAGCATGCTCCGTATGGGACAAATCTAAAGAGTGTCAAGGAAGTCCCTGACTAGTGATCATTTAAAAGACAGATCCATCCAGATCCACAGTCAGTAGCTAGTCACCTTCCTGCTGACTACAGACCTAACTAAATCATTCCGTTGGCTCTACCAGGAATGTCAAGAGCTGTTAGGAAAATGGAGTTCCCACTTAAATCCATGTGTTTAAGAGTCGGTTGAATTTTCGAGGGGAAGCCAGGGTCTGTAATCTTAAAAGATCTCACTGCCATGTCTCCGAGAGGAACAATACATATTCCAGCGGGCGGCATCTAATGAGATTGTTTCCTTGGGAATGGGCATTTGTTTGTGAATGTTCAGGAACTGGCTATGTGTGAAGGATACTGGTGCCGCATACCATTCTGATTGCAGGAAGGATATTAAGTCACTCCATGAACTCTGTGTGCAAGTCCCACTTGAATAGAAACAAAAGTATTCCCTGTGGCTTGATTTAAAAATATATTTAGCTGAGAATAAGAACCGACTCCGTGTTCGACTTAGCAACTTCTTACCGTGGGGGCCGTATTGGGTCTATCATCCTTTGGACATAGGGATTTAGCAAGCCATCTGTCATCTGCAGGCTGCGCTCAGCTCTCCATGTGCATATGAAGCTTATCATATTAGAAATTGCGTGTTTTTCCAGTCCTCCTCATATGTATCGTCATATGATTCGTCATATGTATCGTCATATGGTCATTGATTTATGTTCTTCTAGGATAATGGTTGTTTTTCGTGAATTACCATCGAAAGTGAATCATTCTTACATATGGGCACTGTATTCCTGTCTGTGCTTTATTTTTGAATAATTAGAAAATCCCAGGAGCCTCTTTGTTTTACATGGGGTAATGGAGTGATTGAGGCGACTGGATTCCTAAAGGTTAAAAGCAACAGTTAGGACACAGGACAGAATTCCCACGCTCGACTGATTCAGAAATTGTGATGGGTGAACATCATACACTGTTTAGTGAGCAGATACAAAGTGACTTTTATCAGAGACACGGCTCAGGCTATTAATGGAGCATTTGCAGCATACCAGGATGTGAGAACTATGAATGCTAACTTATTTCTCTCTCAAAAGGCACTATTAGTACAGTGTCCTTTTAGGTCCACTGAGAAGCTGAGCAAACAGAGGCACATAACCTTCAGAGGCATATGGTGGAGCTGGCATTTGAACACAGATCTGAGGCTCATGCTCTTCAATACACTACACTATATTTTGGGTTTATATACATTGAATGTATGAATGTCAGATAGAATGCTGGACCTATGGTTTGGTTTTGGGTTCTAGGACACACCAATGTTCTCGTAACTAGAAACAGCAAGGACTCCATTAGATTTCCAGTTGCCTACTCACAGTGTGACTTCCAGTTAAGTTTTATTTCTGTTGTGCATGCAATGTACTATGAGTTTGGGTCTGTTTGGATAGTTAGCACCCAGAAGTACAGGTAACATACCAAGTTATGTTACCAACAATCTTTAATTATTCCATTAAAGTAAAGTGCCTATAAAATTAATGTAAGTACTATATTTGTATACCAGCATCTTAAAGTGACAGCCACAGCAGCAAAATTTCAGCATCTTGCCTTAGATCTTTCAAAGGAACTTTTGCACTTATTAATATCATTTGTGGTACCACAGTCATGATTTCTTGTGGCTGGTGGGGGTGGGGGGAGTACAGAGAGAAGCAAGTTGCTCTCCGATGACCTCATTCTAGTGAGCTAATCATTGAATGGCATGGACATGATTCAACGCTCATGGGAAGGGAAAACAAGGGAGAGAAATAATGGAACCCTTTGATGATGCCTGAGACCAGAATTGTTACCCAAACCCGCATGAATCAAAGCTTGCTCGTCTTAGGGCAGGGCATACTCCAAAACATGCACATGTTCCTTCTCTAGCCATATACAAGGGCTCTGTAGCTAATCCCAGCTCAGAAGAGAGAGGTCTAAATGAGAGTGCCGGAGAGCAGAGTGAGCGCCTACCAGAAGTTGTTGCTCTCCTCCCTGCCATTTGCAAGCCGTTCATGCCTGAATCAATCTGGAAAGTGTTGCAGCGGAAATAGAAAGGCAATGACAATGGTCCTCACTCAAACCTCGTTCGTTGCTTCCTTCTCCAGGAGGCACCGTGGGGAGAGAGAGCAGAGGATGTGGGTGTGAGGGTATAGTTAGGTCATGGTAAGACAGGACGGGATTTGTTTTCTGATTTTAATATAGTAAGATATGTACAAGATATTAAACTCACCACAGCAGCCATTTGAGCCATTTGTCAGTGTATTGTATGGTCTTTATCATAGTGTTGGTGGCCCCAGTTATTGCCTGTCTCCACTTACATCCTGCTGGAACTGAAATTCTCAATGCGCCCATTACACTTGCTTCATTTCCTCCCTCACATCAGCCCCCACCTACCACTGTCTTGCTTTTATCTAAATTACAGCGTTTTCACAAAATTTGTTTACCTCTGAATGCTGCACAGTATCCCATTGTATGTCTGTATCATATTTCCCCCTTTAAAAATGCAGTTACCATAATTGGCCTTGTAGGAGAACTGGCCTTCCAATGTCGTTATTTTAGGATATCAAAAAACATCATGTTCTCTCTCTCTCTCTCTCTCTCTCTCTCCCTCCCTCCCTCCCTCCCTCCACTTTGCAAAACCTAAATCAAAGCAGGTCCATAAATGTGGTTAGTTTTTGAAGAAATCTATCATCGTGCATTTTATTTGAAATTCTCAAAAACCATCATGATATGGCCCATATTTCAGTACAATCGACTGACGGAAGGAAAAAGAGGCGGGGATCCAGGCACTGTTTCAACACCATCCATCTTTGTGGTGGCAGTTTCCAGGGTATCACTGGGCCTTTGCTGTTGAGTGAGTAATGTGGACAGGCTATGTCTTGTGTTAGAATTCTCTGGAGTCATATCAGTAATTATTTCACTGCGTGTATAGAAAACTGAGGGACTTAAATACAACACGAGAAAAACCATAACGAGTCGCAACGTCTCTCTCATCTGTGAAGTCGCAGCATCTCTGCCCACCTGTGGACTCGCAGCACCTCTGCCGTCTGTGGAGCTGCAGCATCTCTGCCGTCTGTGGACTCGCAGCATCTCTGCCGTCTGTGGACTCGCAGCATCTCTGCCGTCTGTGGACTCGCAGCATCTCTGCCGTCTGTGGACTCGCAGCATCTCTGCCGTCTGTGGAGCTGCAGCATCTCTGCCGTCTGTGAAGTCGCAGCACCTCTGCCGTCTGTGGAGCTGCAGCACCTCTGCCGTCTGTGGAGCTGCAGCACCTCTGCCATCTGTGGAGCTGCAGCATCTCTGCCGTCTGTGGAGCTGCAACACCTCTGCCGTCTGTGGAGCTACAGCATCTATGCCGTCTGCAGAATCACAGCGTCTTTGTCATCTGTAATCAGCCAGCAGCTTCTAATTTTTGATATTTCTGTTTTCTGAAGAAAGCCATAAAACAAATTCAGGTTTTTGTCTTTTCCTTGCTACTAAATTCTCGTGTGATTTCAGGGAAGTCACAACTCCTCTGAAACTTCCTTCATATAACATGGGTTTGGATTCAGCTCTCTGAAAAGTTCTTTTCGTGTCTGAAATTGGAGAATTCCTTGTTCTCAGGTATCCTTTGAGGGAAGGATGATTCTTACTCCAGCTTTCCTTATTATGTTGCTCAGTATCTATCTGTTTACGTCTGATCCATGTGTTTTTTTGGTATTTGTGTCCTAAGCCCACAAGGATGTGCAGTCTGTGGTCTATTTCAATGTTGTAATTACTATAATTATAGAGAAGCTTTTTCCCCAGGGGTCCTGGCCTTGATGTGACCTTGTTGTTTTGTCCAGTTGGTGTCAGGAATGTGGAGA